GTAATAGATCGCTAATGCTTCTCCTTTAGCAATACACGGGGTTAATTTAAAAAGCAAGGGTAGCTTAAAAAATTAAAAAAATCTTTTGAAAATATGAGTTGTTTTATTTTACTAAAGTTTGTTGGGGGATTAAATTCATTTCAATCATCAAAGTACTTCGCAGCCAGAAAGGTTATAATTTTTAAACTTAAATTGCAATGTTTTTTTAATTGCTACTGAAGCATTTGTTATTTGATGTTTTGAAAGGGGGAAAAAAGTTTATATTCAAAAAATCTTAATCAGTTTTATTCATCGTTTTACTCTCTCGATTTTCCGTTCCCCCCAAATTTGATGACCGACCCCCGGTTTTTCCCCCCTACCTTGCTATTGGTCCTCTCCTGTGCAGGGTTTAAAACTTTTTCATTTTTTAAACTCTATTCGTTTAAATAGTTCCTTGTATTTAATGTCCGCCAACTCTGTTTCAATTTTAATTCATCGTTTTTTTCCGTCTCGCTGTTCAATCTCCCATCTAAGGTGCAAATGTATGATTTAAACGTTTTGGTTAGTATAAATTTTGGGAAATTTCGATGGATAAATTTCACCTATTAACAATTTTTTACGGGGTTTTTTTCATTTTAAGGGGGTTTTCCATATGTTTAAAATTTTATTTTTTTACATCTGTGTTATTTTGTAAAAAAAATTTTAAGTATAAATAACAAAACATTTTTATAATTCAAACCAAATAGGGTTAGAAACTTTTCCAAGGGGCTACAATTCCAGGTTTTTTGTTGTTTACAACGCTGTCTGACTTTTTTAAAAGTAAAGACGCCATTGCGCCGCATGTTTTGGCATTAAAAAAAGACCCCCCCCGAATGACCCTCCCGCCCCCTGGTATGGGTTTTTATTTAATTTTAAAAATGACCCTCCTCGGCCATGCCGAGGGAGGGCCATTTCTTGTTTGGCCCTGCCCGGCCATGGCCGAGGAGGGCCATTTTTGTCATATTGTTTTGGCCCTGCTCGGCCATGGCCGAGGAGGGCCATTTCTTGTTTGACCCCGCTCGGCCATGGCCGAGGAGGGCCATTTTTTTCATATTGTTTGGCCCTGCTCGGCCATGGCCGAGGAGGGCCATTTCTTGTTTGGCCCCGCTCGGCCATGGCCGAGGAGGGCCACTTTTTTCATATTGTTTGGCCCTGCTCGGCCATGGCCGAGGAGGGCCATTTCTTCGTCATATTGTTTGGCCCTGCTCGGCCATGGCCGAGCAGGGCCATTTTTAAAAAATGACCCTCCTCGGCCGAATGACCCTCCTCGGCCACGTGAGTATGGTTTTTATTTTATTTTTAAAAATGACCCTCCTCGGCCACCATACACCTCTTCAACCTGCTGAACATGTACTTACTTATATTATTTTTAAAGTAAACAAACAATTATCAACATCACCTCCCCGCCAGTATCCACATCTATTAATATTAATATTATATTAATATTTGATATTATAGTACTTCATGCAGTTCGAACTGAAGTTGGTTGACCAACTGTTTAAATCAGTTTCAGTTCTCACACTAATTTTCCCTACACAGTACACCCCGTCTTACTTGGGGACCTCAGACTATTATGTTCATAAACATAAACCGAATACAGAATAGAGATTCGGCGGAATGACAGGCTGAAAGCTGAGCGCGGCCCAGTAAACGCCGTCAGCATTTCTATATTTGTAGGTTTATAACCTACCAGCAAGACCAAAGACGCGCGCCGAGTTGCAAGTTCAATTAAGTTGGACTCGTCGACGGTCTATAAATATTTGAAACAAATATTTTACGACTACGAGTATCACGCGTTAATTCATTAATTTTATTTGGGGACGCCAGTACAGTGTAGTGGCCAGGCTTCACCTAACCATGTGCTTTCGCGCCACTGCGGGCGCGTGAGGCGGGCGCGCGCTACTGCAAGCGCAAGGGCTCTGCACTCTGGATAGAGCAATGGCCAGGCTATAATGCAAATGTTTATAAACAATAGATATTCGTGGAGGAATAACAGGCTGCGAGCGCCGCCCATGAATTCGAGTGTTTAGCTGGACTCTGGTTATGGTTAAGGTTGTGGTAAGGGTTATGGATTACTTTGGGGTTATGGATTACTTCGGGGTTATGGCTAGGGTTAGGGTTGGGATTAGGGTTTATGTAAAACCGTTTCGTACGGCTGCAAAACCATAAAAACTAAAGTCACGTGAAATTTTTGGGCGAGCGAATTAGTGAGAGACAACAAGTAAGTGAAATCTGACTGTTATTACATATTAACCACTGTACCAATTATTAAACAGATATTAGCTGCAAATACCGGGCAATGATCACTTTTCCCATGTTAATAATATTTAGTACTTTATTTTCTCCAAGAAATTATTTCATATTTGTCATAGTACGTTGTATGACCCGCCGCGCACGAGTGCGCGGCTCCCCATGTATCGTAGAAACTCAAAGTGAAACGACCGTGGGGGTAACGACGTGATACAAGAAATTATTTATTCAGACATCCTTTTGACAATTTCAAATAGCTGACTGTTGATTTGGTTGACCATTCTTGGCCCAACAAGCGCTACTTAGCTTCGTAGCACTTGCCATCGGGCAAAATTTCGAGAAGAAAGCGGCGCGCGCACATGACACAGAACGGTCAAAATATTGCTCTATCCAAATCCCTTGCTTTTGCGGTAGCGCGCGCCCGCCTTGACTTGTGAAACAAGCGCGCCCGCAGCGGCGCGAAAGCACATAGTTAGGTGCAAGTCGAAATCTAATCGCGCCCCATCATTTTACATTTTATACTATGAACGCGAACGATAAGCTTCAGAACAAATCTTAAGTCATTAAAATGCTTGTGCATTGTGTTGTGGATTGAGAAGAAAGCTTTGCATTTGATAACCAGAAAATAATCAAAATAGAAAGCTAAAGAGACATTTGCATTTTAAAATTTAAAAAACAAAAGCTCTTTTGCCGTTGCCTTAATCAAAATTTTACACTTTTGACTAAAACGTTTACCATTATATTTATATAACCATGCCATAAGTAAAGCTGTTTCTGTAAGTAACCAGTATAGTAACGTAAGTATGAAATACGTTCCATGATCATCACGATCGAAATATGAAATATACTGGAACTTCGAAGCTAAATAATATCCTATTAGCTTAATTGTTTGTAGCGCGATGCACTACTGGGTCGCGCGCGCATCAAATAATGCTTCTCGCAATAACAGTAGTGTGCAAACCAACATTCGAACCACCAGCAGCTGGTGGTCAATTTCCTACGAACGAGACTTAATTTTGGTTCAGACTGGAGTCGAGCGCTACGTTATAGCTGTATATATAGCTCGTTTCACGACGAAATCTTCATTTATTGAGTTTGTCTGTCGATTATGTTGGAGTTTGTATTTCTAATTTTGTACTCGAATACTGTTAATTTATTTTTATTAAATAGTTGATTTTCGTAACAGCACACTAGTACGTGATTCCTTTTGTTATTCTTACATAATTAGGAAGATTTTAAACTTCAATACTATAAATAATCAAATATTTACGAACACCGATCATCGGTATGTACCCATTATGCATTATTGGTATCGAAGTCTTATGTTGAGCTGGATATCGAAAAATTTCAAAATGTAAGGCTGTAATTTTGTACTTGTTTAGGTGTAGAACTAGGATTAACAACTTGATTGCTAGGAGCTAGGAAGAGATTTTAGTAATGATGACCCTTTAAACTTAAACTATATCTCTAGTGCACTTCGATCGGTTTTCTTTTCAATTTTGATAAAACCTAGTCGTGATCTTTGTTTCAGAACTTCACTAATTTATTAAGTTTTGTAGTTTATATAGACGGAACATGAGCAGATACCATTTGATTAATTATAATATATCCGATTTGAAATATTATTCTGTCGGAGTTTGAGTTCAACATGGACACATTTATTAACATCCCGCATGAATTTGTGTCGTCTTTACAATTTTTTGCGCTGAATTTGTATGCTTATTAATACTGCCGCATGATATCAGTAGCTGCTATAAAACTAGAGTGTATAGCATGTGTATTATACGATGTTTCCCACGTAAAAATCGCAGGTTGTTTTGGTGCGGCTGGGCACTCTACTGGTGATTGACACCAGAGACTGAGAAAAACTTTGACATAATTTTCAAGTTTGATATGACCTAATAACTACCACATTTACAGGAAGTATGGTAATACATTCTTGTCAGCTGTCTGGGCAAATCTTCTCTCGCAGAATTGGATTAAAATTTAATGTATTTTACTTCTCACTTCCAACGATGTCGCAATTATTAGGTAAAATTTGAAGTTATTTTGAGATTCAATTAATAAATTTTAGATTGCAGCTTGATATCACTTAGTATGTACATTGTACTCGGTTGCAAGGGTAGAACTTATGAGAATACTATCATAGTATTATTGCACTATACTATTATGGGTTCATCAAAGTTCGTATCATGATTTGTCACAATTAAACCATCGAGTCACTTGAGGAAACCCGTTAAAGCTCGCAATTGGCGACGAGATAAAGTTTGTGGTACCTCTAGATGTTAAGTTAACTCTTAGGCTCCAATCTTCCTTACTATACCTACCACTCCTTCTTCCTTGATAAGAAGTAGATCCATCTGGAACAGTGAGCTGCTTCTTCCCTTCTATCCCGTACTAGCCTACTCAGCTCTCTCCAAACCGTGAACAACTACTCCCGGTGCTAGAACTTTAACCGCATAATTATAACAGCACAATTCTTTCGCTTGAATCTCAGTCTGCTGTAAGACTGCTGTACCGGTAGAGTTTTTACTTGTATGATTCAGCAATCTGCTCTTTAGATGGTACCGTTACCTCCCGCCATAAGACTGTGCCGTCTTGGTGACCTTGAGAATATCATAAGGTCCAATATATAAAAGCACTATCCAATATCGAGACCCACTCAGGATCCCAAACCACGACTCCTTTCGGTCGTCTGTACTTGCTTTTTTCCTCCCAGCATGGACTAAGTCAATGATACTGTCTTACATCGCTGGCCTTGTTCTTATAAGTGTTCACTCGGCGCTCACAAGATAACATGTTCAGAGATCTGTTGCAGAACCTTGTCGTGCCGTCATTTATATACTCCTTGACTAAGAGCTACTTTACACCTACAGCAAAAATGTGCTAAATGATACCCATCCTCTCCTCACATTACTGTACTTGCACTTACCATCCTCATCTTCGCCATAGAGGTGGTTAAGAGGGTGACGTACACAGCATCTAGCACGAATCCAATAAGTGAGTCTACAGTGCGTGTCGAAATACATTGCATGTACCCTTATATATTAATTGAGACAGAATTTTAATAAATCAACAAATTCTTAAAATTTAAAAAGGTAGAATTTAATTCTATGGCATTTATTGAAACCTGCTTTTTTAAAGTTGAGAATTGGTTTCAATTTCTAGAATATCACGATAATGTTGACTCAAAACTGTTTCAGGCAGCTATCAAGTCTCAAGATATGACATAATTTGATAGAATGTTAGTACCAACGCTATCAGTGCATTGAAGTCGAGTTCTCGATACAGGTATTATAATTAGGTTCTATCGACCTTTTTTGTAGTCTTAACTCATTTTTATTTGTTATTATACGACCAATTAAAACCTAGCAAACCAGACTTCTTTATGTGCTAAATGTTACTTTAACCTTAATAATAGCAGCATTGTGGCAGATATCCAGTTACATTTTTTCCAGCCGTATATTATAAATATACAGGGTGGGCCAAAAGTCAGTGTGCAAACGTTGGCATTAATAGCTCAGTCACTGAGTGCCCAATTGAAATAATTGGTTCTGGTATGACTTACTACCACCACTGGTTCGAGAAATTTGTCAAATCGAAACATATTTGTGTTCATTGTTTTCAAAAGAAGGTTCATTTTCGCATTTATTTGATAGTTTGGATAATCGGATCGAGCCAAATTTTATTGAATTGTGTTTAGCCATTTAAATTACGTTTGCTCTAAAAAATGAGAGTATATATATATTACTCATGCAACTAAGATAAATTGAGTATAAATACTCAATTTATCTTAGTTTAAGTTGCAAGTTATATAACTCATTTTCTAAAGGTCTCGTAAACTTTAATCAATTACAGAGAGTGTGGCCTCTTTTTCACTGAAAAGACGCCATCAGATTTCATTGCATTCTGGGACCAATTTTGGTGTGATTTAAAGTATCCTACAAATTGGTGTTTACTGTTTCGACTTTTGTAAAATCACTGTAACAATATAATCTGTATTCTTATAGTTTCAACCATAATAGTGAAATAGAGGGGCTGGCCAATAGCCACACCCTCTGTAATTTATTTAAGTCTACGAAACTTTCAGAAATTTGTGTGTAATTCGGAGATAAATTAAACAAGTTGTTATCGGCCACCATGTGTAAACGGAATGTTCTAGCAGACTGTATAATACTATAACATACATTTTCTTACACACACATAATCTAATCTCTGGAATGTTGCTATGATATCAATGGCAATGTTTTGATACTGTGTATTATCATGATTATGCCTTACAGGCCGATCTTCCGATGGAGTTTCGGTTGCCATGGCAACACATCAATATTATAAAGAATTTGTAAACGCAGTCACAACTCTGTCGTGTACACTGTACGGTGCGAGCGGTTATTTTATGATAGGTAACATCTACTTTTTCAGCATTTGCGGGATGACCAGTTCACACGTATATTTTCGCAGACACAACTTCGCATAAAATTATATCCAATTATTCTATAACCAATTATCTACACGGACTTCTGTCTAAATATGAATGAAATCGAGAAAACCAAATATTATATGTTTCATCCTGAAGTTCTGAGTTCTCAGGCAGTAAAATCATGATCCTGATAGATATCGAAGTCTCCTTAAATGATTGTCTCTGCTGCTTAATATATCTGGATTGTCGTTGGGAGGCGATGCAGATTTGTTTACTTTTAAGGGGGAGGTTCTGCTCAGCAGGAGAAAGAGGTGATGCACATTTTGTATTTGTCTGACATGTAGGACTTGAGCCACGTTTCCGTAAGTGCAATAAACGGTAACGAGTGGTTTTTGGATTTCTCCTGAATAAGAGCTGAGATTTTTGGCACTTCCCATATACTCGCACTTGATGCACAGGATTCATGGACTGGACATTTAAGACGAGGCATGAGGAATAACGGGCACGTGCAGTGTATCCTCTGAGGCGGTAGGAACTGCTGGTAGTGGTATAGTGGGTAGTATATATATATATTACTCATGCAACTAAGATAAATTGAGTATAAATACTCAATTTATCTTAGTTTAAGTTGCAAGTTATATAACTCATTTTCTAAAGGTCTCGTAAACTTTAATCAATTACAGAGAGTGTGGCCTCTTTTTCACTGAAAAGACGCCATCAGATTTCATTGCATTCTGGGACCAATTTTGGTGTGATTTAAAGTATCCTACAAATTGGTGTTTACTGTTTCGACTTTTGTAAAATCACTGTAACAATATAATCTGTATTCTTATAGTTTCAACCATAATAGTGAAATAGAGGGGCTGGCCAATAGCCACACCCTCTGTAATTGATTTAAGTCTACGAAACTTTCAGAAATTTGTGTGTAATTCGGAGATAAATTAAACAAGTTGTTATCGGCCACCATGTGTAAACGGAATGTTCTAGCAGACTGTATAATACTATAACATACATTTTCTTACACACACATAATCTAATCTCTGGAATGTTGCTATGATATCAATGGCAATGTTTTGATACTGTGTATTATCATGATTATGCCTTACAGGCCGATCTTCCGATGGAGTTTCGGTTGCCATGGCAACACATCAATATGATAAAGAATTTGTAAACGCAGTCACAACTCTGTCGTGTACACTGTACGGTGCGAGCGGTTATTTTATGATAGGTAACATCTACTTTTTCAGCATTTGCGGGATGACCAGTTCACACGTATATTTTCGCAGACACAACTTCGCATAAAATTATATCCAATTATTCTATAACCAATTATCTACACGGACTTCTGTCTAAATATGAATGAAATCGAGAAAACCAAATATTATATGTTTCATCCTGAAGTGCTGAGTTCTCAGGCAGTATAATCATGATCCTGATAGATATCGAAGTCTCCTTAAATGATTGTCTCTGCTGCTTAATATATCTGGATTGTCGTTGGGAGGCGATGCAGATTTGTTTACTTTTAAGGGGGAGGTTCTGCTCAGCAGGAGAAAGAGGTGATGCACATTTTGTATTTGTCTGACATGTAGGACTTGAGCCACGTTTCCGTAAGTGCAATAAACGGTAACGAGTGGTTTTTGGATTTCTCCTGAATAAGAGCTGAGATTTTTGGCACTTCCCATATACTCGCACTTGATGCACTAGGATTCATGGACTGGACATTTAAGACGAGGCATGAGGAATAACGGGCACGTGCAGTGTATCCTCTGAGGCGGTAGGAACTGCTGGTAGTGGTATAGTGGGAGCGTTGTTCCTGGCTGAAGAGGTGGATGTGGTCTGGGGTAGTGGTAGGGCATTTGAGTTTGAGGGAGGCTGGACCGGTGGTCGACTATTTCTGATAGGAGTCCGATCCTGGTTTGCATCGTTTCCAACAGTCTCCGTAACTATAACAATCCTGTGATCTGGTATTGGTTACTTAAACTTATTTAATTGAACATGGTGTTTGACGTTGGAGCTTATCACTTTACAGTTTACATCACCTTACCTGAATAATTGAATAGGATGAATACTGAATAGCATTTATTAATGCTTTCTTTACCCGGAGAACTCTGTTTTACTTGTCCCTCGGTAACACAAGACCGTGAGCCGTGACACTTAGTCACAATAATTAAGTCATAAGTCAGAAAGAAGTCCATAATTCGTACACCCATGATTATGTTAAATATAGATTGACTCCAGTCTCCATTGTTCAATGACTTCGTCAAAATGTTTTAGGAAAATGTTCACAGATTTGTTAATTTTGGACTCAAATTAACGTTGAGAAAAACTGAATTTATTTTGGAAAAATCCCGGCTAAAACCAAAATCCCGGCCGGTACTGGTACAAAATCGCCAAATACCAGCCGGTATTCCGGCTGCGCCGGTTATATCCCGGTCGAGTTCTGTCTGAGACCTAATTTTCTCTATTTCTCGTGCAATTTTAGATCAGACACAGTCATCTAAATTATTTAATAAGAAGGTTTAAATTATAAGCAATTAAAAACAGTTGGGACTATCATTGTTTGTGAGTACATATTATACGAATATAAGGTGGTTAATATAATTATAACACATTTAATATAAAACATTTAAGACACATTTTTTTATTCCTGCATTGTACTCATTAATTTAACTAGTAATATTATATAAAAACCACATTTCTATTTGTACAGGGAGCTGCTGGTAAACTACCGTCGCTATACATCGACTATGACTACAATCCTACCTTTAAAAACAAACTACATACATATCTCACATTTGCGAGGACTACTTCATCACATGCAAAAAATCGACATTGGTAAATAAAGGTAGGTTCTTTTCACTGACTTCGTTAAATGAGTTACATATTTTCACACAAATTACGTGCGTGATCATTAAAGGGTTGCTTGTGTGCAGTTACTTCTGGGCCAACGCCACCCTGTTGGGAGTTTTCACATAATATAAGTAAATTTGCCGATAATACAATTTTACTCATTCGGGACATGTTACCTATATTATCATTATACTAGGCTATTATATTGACTAGGTATTGAGGTTTAATGATGATATGGAATTTGAATTCTATATAAATTTACACTATGTGGTTGGGGCATTTTGCATAGTAAATATGGTTACTACTCATATATATCATATTATTTGATTGGTATTCGATTTCTGATTATTTCTCTAGGAATATGATTATTATATCTCAATTTGGCTTTAGGTAGGGTGCCCCGCTAAAAGAACTGGATTCTTCCAGGAAGCATCCCGTGCACAGAGCTTGGTCTACATATATATTAAATTATTAACCATTCATTCTGTATGTGCACGAAAATTTATTTCAATCAATCAAAAAACTAGTATTTCTTCAGGTCTGTCTTCTATAACCACGATGAAAAGAAAAGCTGGGCGAAAACATTTGAGACTGCAGATTGCAGAACTGGAACACTCTATTTGAAGACAGTGGCTGCTGAGTGCTGAGCTGCATCAAATCTATCAGCATCATGTAACTTCGATCAGGAACAGACTCCAACTTTCATATGACATCTTTGATAGGATAGATGTGTCTGTGTCTAATAGGAATAGTTATGTAAGTTATATGAAAGATAATCCATTGGTAGCTAAGAGGAAGAAGGTTAATATCAAAGGTATTTAGTTAAATTTTTTAAAAAGTTTGTAATTATATGGTTTCAAACGTAAAGTGTTCATTTTCTATGAATTTCTTTTTGAGATGCCCAGAGAGGCATTATTTATAATGTTATGTTATGTTGTGTTATGTCCATTTCATTTCCGACAACTAGCACCTGTTTTCCCTAGACTTACCAAGTATTAAGTAACTCCATTAGTATTAGGTTAAATTAAAGGCCCTACATCGAACAAGTCTAACAATTAAAACTTAAATGCAAGAGTGCACAATTTATCACTAAATATCTTCCTCTTCTAATTCTAATCAACACACGGTTTCGTCTTTGTTTCACCCAATCGTGCTGATAATCAGTAATCATGCACTCTGCACTCTAACTTCGAGATGTTTCAAAAGGGCTCCCGACGAGTTGAATTAGATCAATATTTTCTTTTGATACATAGATACTGATTGGAAGGTTCATCATACTATTCTTGTCACATGGTAACGATTAACGATTAGCTGATCAGCTTCCAGCATCGACAGGCCGAAATCCATAAATATAATCAGTTGTAATTTAATATTTATCATCGTCCGGATCATCATAATATTTTAATTTAAAGTTACAATTGAACGGTGTTAAGAAAGATAATTTAAGAGAAATGTTTTGAAAGTGCCTGATTTCGAGTATAAGATCTGTACTGATACATTAAATTTCAGATTGTTATTATAGTTTATTTGTATTTTTTATATTATCTTATCCGCACAAGTTCGGAAGCCATCTGAACGCTATTGCCAGATACAGGCATATATTTATTTTGGGGTATCATGCTCTCAGAAATTTCAACTCAGTCCGATATTATAGTTATACTAACCTGCATTGCATAGGGTTAATTGTCTCGCAGTCTAGTGCATAAACCTTTTATTTTGTATAAACCCTTTATTTTGATTGGGAAAACTTTAGTTTAATGTGGTTACCGTCTCTAAAGTTGGCATGATAGTTAATAAACTCTTATCTATTATGTCACTGAAGATGACGCCTTGCAACATGTTTGACGATAGCCTGTAGATTGATAGTTTGATCTAAGTATTTACAACAATTCATCTAGTTTGATTGATTCAAAGGGAAACAAATTCCTCTCTTATCTATTATGACTATATTTAAATTCAATCCTGTAAAGTGATACTCCTTTTTTAGTAATTTAAACATGTGTTTTCTCCTTCTGATTTTTAAACTATTACCGGTCACGCTGAATAATAATGACATCAGTGAATTTAAAGCTATCGTTAACATCACTCAGAAAATGCGCGTCTTTAGCGCGTGTCTTGTTGTTATGCATCAATCCTTCGGTAGTAGTAGAGGCTCTTACGGGCAAAAAGACGTGTTTTCTGCTACGAGTTTAGAGACCTAACCGCTAATTGGACACAATAGTATGATGTCTAAGGATCGATAATATGTTAAGAAGTATAAATTTGGCCTTATTAGTCACGTGCTATACCAATGCGCGTTTTAAACTTTGACAGTCTATTACTCTAAGGCAAATAGAGTAATTATATTCATATTTTGTCAGCAATAAGATCACATTATTTTCTATTTAGTGTGAAAATATGAGCTAGAACGGACATAATCTCGCTGAGTTATAGCTGTTTGAAATTTATGATGAACGCGCGGGTGCCAATTGATAACAACTAAATGCTTTTGCGCGTAGTGCGCGTCGAAAATTTGGCAAAAACGCTTGCGGAGTGAAAATATTCAAACTTCGATAAAGTATATGAAGTGGGTACTTCTCGGAAAGGAAAAATTTAGGCAAACACGATGTGACTATTTTTGGGTTGATTTAATACAACTGCAAAAAATTATTCAAACTTCAAGCAAAAAAGTCAAAATTTTTACCACTTTTTTGGATTTTTACCTCAGAACAAATAGAGGGATTTGTTTTATTTTTATACAATCTTGTGCGGCTGTCTTTTAGCTATTTTTATGCAAGTTTTGCCGACATGCCAACAAAATTAACTTGCTCAAAATATCAAAAAACATGGTTTTTTGGCCTATTTTTGGCCCAAAAATCGGTTTTTTGCGATTTTACCCCAGAACAATCAGTCCAATCATCTTGAAACCACTTTCAATCGATTCTACGGTCAAAAATACGTCTAGTAAGGTGTATCTGGGGTCCCTAACGTATCGAGCAGACAATGCCCGTAAGAGCCTCTACTATAGATCGGCGAGATGCACCACTGTGCCTCACCGAGCTGCGAAGGATTGACATCGTGAATCAACTTAATTGTTAATGGGCGGCGCTCAGCATGTCATTCCGCCGAATTTTTATTAGCTTGACGGATGTTACTCGTCTAAATCTTTCGAAATAGCGCGCACCGCTTTCGTCTCAAAAAGAAAACAACATTAGCGCGACGCCACGCGCAATTCACTAATGTGTAATGGGCAACGCCGCGCATATCATCCAATAATATAATGCTTATCGCAACCACTTTGATATATTGGCGAGATGCACCACTGGGACAGTGGTCACGCTGAGCTGCAAACAATTTACTCGGCCGCTCTGAGCTTAACGGGTGATACTCGTAAAAGATTTACTCCAAATGTTAGGACCGTCGACGAGTCTAACTCGGCGATCGTTCTGGTAGGTTGTAAACCTACAACGCTCAGCCTGCCATTTTGCCTAATCTCTATCCATTTATATTTATGGACATGATATATATAATAGCCTAAATAGTCCCTAAAAAAAGCAAATTCAAATCAAATCAAAATATAATGACACAAGCATCATCACACATCATCAAAAATATATCTACTAAAGTTTAAAAATTATCTTAAATCTATCGGCCTAAACAACCAAGTTAAAAATGAATCTAATTTACATACTTTCCACTACTATATAAGTTGATAAAGCGTTTTTTAGCAACATGAGGATTACACATAAGATATTCATTGTGCTTCTCTTTGTTAGTAGCATAATTTAATTCCTCAATCTTTCCTTATACTTCGTCCGAAACATACCAAAAATGACTGTTATTTACAGATCCGTTTAAAATAGTCTCTTTTTTGAAAGCCTCTAATCTCATTTTAAAACTTAACACAGTCCCACAATTCTTGACATCTGAGGGGAGTTTGTTCCAATATGGTCTCACCCTCTCCGGAAGAAAAGAACTGTGGACTTTCTTCATTTTACTGCTACTTTTACTGCATCTACTGTTTGATTTATTTCAATCAATGATACCACATTAAGACCAGATCTGCTCATACTGAACAAACCAGCTCCGTAGTTGGCCAAACCACTTATCATTTTAAAGATTCAATGAGGTCCCCACGTATTCGCCGCTCTGCCAGCGTTGTTAAATTGAGGATTTCCAGTCGACGACTGTATGGAAGAGTACCCACCTCGTCAATCAGACGGGTAAACCGCCTCTGGACGCTCTCCAGCTCCAAGATGATCCCCCAACTTCCATGAGCCGCAACTGGACTCCACAATTGAACACAATACTCTAAATGGGGTCTTATCAAAGCTTTGTAAATGGATATCATCACAGATTTTTCCCTGATAATCAGATTTCTAACAATACAACATATCATTCTGTTGGCTTTAGATATTGAAGCCTTAATCTGTTCATTCCAAAGCAGAGAGTTATGGGTTACAACTCCCAAGTCTTTTTCCTGTACAGATTCTGCCAATGTAACTCCATTAAGAGAATAACTTGATCTTGGGTTATCTGTTATCGTTAACATCTAAATGCATTACTGAACACTTAGTAGGATTAAACTTTAAAAGCCATTTACTCTCCCACATCTCTAGTTCATTCAGATCATTAACTATAGTTTCATGCTCGGAGGCATTAGCTATAAGCTTAAGATCATCAGCAAATATTTTAACTTTACTTTTAATGTAGGGCCTGTCGTGATATCATGGATCGCTTAGGTTCCACCAGGATCTGGTAGTCCTCATAATTCTGCGGCCTCTATGTATCGTCATCTCGTACAACTCTTTAAGAATCTTAGGGATTTGAAAAAAAAATGTGAAAATTTGCAGCCTTCCAGGCATTGATTGGGTTAACGAGGTGTCGTACGTCACCTCAAGATCGGGTGACAGGGGGCTGACCAGGCCAGAACCCAATTCGAAATCTGATTAAATTGAAATATGTACAAAAACTCAGCAATATAA